TTTCTGACTAGAACAGGCAGTGGATCCTCATTTCCCCTCATGGCCTGAGAAAAACACCGCATCCTCTTGGCCTCCCTTTTTCCACGAGGGTCTTTCTGTTTGACCCCCTCATGCCTAGGCACCCGTGAAGTTGGCACCTCTTCTCATTAAGCCCCCCACCCCACCCTCTGCACAGCCCCAGTGGTTTTTGCTCAGTGATGCCAAGCAGTTGATGGTCCTACTTGTATGGAGCCACGTTCAGGGGATCACTGCCAGCAGGAAGAGAAGTGGATGAGTGGTGTCAGATTTGATGTCCAGGCTTCCTGGGGGGGCCACTTGGGTAGTGTGTGCCCCCCTGTATCCTACAGCCCTTATGCTGTGTTTCTCTTGTAGTGAAATGCCTGAAGAATACCCCTGCCTTCTTTGCTGAAAGGCTCAACAAGGCTATGCGGGTATGTAGCTCTTATGTGCAGGGGGCCCTAATTCAAGACATCTTAAAACCTCTTGGGTCTAAGGGGTCCCAGCGGGCTGAGTGTAGAGGGTACGGAGGGATTGGGGCCTCCTGGAAGGTGGGAGGGTGAGAAGCCTCATGTGCATACTCTGTCTTCAGGGAGCAGGAACAAAAGACCGGACCCTGATTCGCATCATGGTGTCTCGCAGCGAGTTTGACCTCCTGGATATCCGAGCAGAGTATAAGCGGATGTACGGCAAGTCGCTGTACCACGACATCACGGTATGGGCTCAGGGCCCACGAAGCCCCTTCCGTCTCCTTCCCTTCTCGGGAACAGCCCTGGGTTTGGCCTAGTGGGCCTCTTCATTCCAGTCACCTCCAAACAGATCACAAGATCCTGAGGACAGGGCAGGTCACAATCCTGTGATCCAGGGCAGCTACTCATCAACCCTACAGTTCCCCAGAGTTTTCTTGAGTGAGAGCAGCAGGAAATATTAGATCGAAGGATTTAGAGTGTGGAGATAAACAGACAATACAGGACAGCTTCGAGAGGGCCTGGAACCTATTCCAACGGGCCCTGACTGTCTCTGCCCTATGATATTTATAGAAATGCCAAGGGGTGGAGCAAAAGACCTCCCCCCAGCACAGCCAAGTGCAGACCATCTCAGACACCTGCACTCAGGCCAATCATCCTCTCTATGCAGACCTGCTGGGTAAAGCCACTAGGAAACCTGAAAATGGGCTCCCACCTGTGACCCTACATTCCCACCCTCTAGGACCCCAGTACTTGATAACTGAACAGGGGTGTCTGTCCAATGGTATAGAGAAATCTGTCCTTCCATTATCATGTCCTTGACCTTCAGAGTCCCCACCACTCTGTGAAGATGTGATCCACCAAGGACAGACAGCTCATGTCCCAAGGGCCTGTGGAGCTCAGCTCTTGCTTACTAGATTCTGGCTTTCCCCCCATTCACTTTACAGTGGAGACCACATAGGTAGCTCAGCCCTTGGGTCAGCCTGGGCGTCTGATCCTGGCTTTTCTACTTGGTTAACCTCATGACCCTTGAGCATGGTCTGTAAACCTCCCAAGCAGTGGCCTCGCTTCTCTAAGAATGCTAGTTCCTCCACAGGTGTGGTGGCAGCAGTCTCCACAAATGCTGGAAGAAACATGGTGTGTCTGGGCTGGGTGGCAGAAGTTGACACGAAGTCCCCAGCATTTTGATACTGTTGGGCTCCTCTTGAAGACTAGCTAATCTCCATTCCTGCGCTATGGAAATGAGAGTTTATCATTCCTGTCTGATTGGGGCTGAGTACTACTAGTAGGCTGTGATAGCTAAAGAAGCCACAGGCTTTTCCTTCAGAGAGTTCAGGGCGACAGAAAATGATCTGAAATTAGCTAAACTCGTAGAGAGCACTGTGGTGTTGGACAGAGATTGATCTGTGAGAAATGGGAGGCTGTAACAGTAATGGTGTCTTCCATGGGTGGTCACAAGGACGAGGCTTCCAAGGACAGCGTTGCTTTATAGTAGAAGCCCCGCATAAATGCTCTAGGCAGAGAGCAATGCTGATGAGCCCTGGGTGGTGAGCCTTGGGCCCATGAAGACGTTGTTCTAGATACTTGTTGGACTTTGGTAATAGGTGATTGATACTGTGTATATGTATGCACGCACATGTATGCATGTGGAGACCAGAGTCAACATGGAGTAGCATTCCTCAGGAGCTATTCCTGTTGATTTTTGAGAAAGTCTCCCTGGGACCCGAGGCTTGATGACTACTAGTCTAGAATGGCCTACCAATCAGCCCCAGGGATCTGTCTGCCTCCACCTACCCAGTGCTGGGATTACAGACACATGCCCTCGCGCCTGGCTTTGGGCTTTGCACAGACTCTGGGGCCCTCTGGACAGCACTTGTTCAAGCAGTCGAGGTCTGCACCACATGCTCTGAATGGGACCTCTCCCTCAGACAGGCCCTCCTCTCCACAGGCCGGAGAGGAGGTGGCTTTGCCTCCCTTTGCCTCAACTCTTGTTCTGCCACCAGGGAGACACTTCTGGGGACTATCGGAAGATTCTACTGAAGATCTGTGGCGGGCAACGACTGAGCTCGAGGTCCTCACTTCTGCCCCCTGCTGGCACTGGCAGGGAAAGGCCCAAAGAGTGTCCTTGAGTTTTTCCTAATCTCTCCAGTATCCCTAGGTGCACCATTTCTCCCCAGAACCATGGCCTCTTCCTTCTGGTCTCTCCTCAACCGCATATCGTGCCGAAAGGGCCCAGCTGGGCCAGAGTTCTCAGGCAGCCGTCTCCCCGGCCCTCACAGCCTTTTGCTGTTCAGAATAGATGTTTTTCTCTCCCGGCTCCTGCAATCATTCCTCATTGCTTGTGGCTAAGACTCCTAGCTTTGTTATAAACATGTGATTTTGTGTTTTTATTTGAAAACTTTTTTTTTTATAACCATCATTGCCAGACAGATGCATATAAGTCTGTTTACTCTATGCATGTTTCTGAGGAGAGTGGGAAGTGGATGGGACACCCCATCCTTGCCAGATAAAAGGGAGGTCTTGTGAGGGTACAGTTGTGTCTGGCGAGAATGTGTCATGAGTTTTGTTTTTGCCGAACTCACTCCTTTTTTAGAAAAAGGCCAAAAAAAAAAAAATCACTGGTTCCCTCTTCCATGCAAGAAGAAAGCCGGTTCCCTGCCAGGGACTGGGATCCTTGTAGTTCGGAATGTGCCTTAAACCTGAATGTCTGTAGCCAAAAGCTGTTTCCAAATTAAAGTCAGCCAGCTCTGGAACATTCTGGAAATGTCTTTCTGGTGCCAGCTTGTTTTCTTCCGCTTTATGACTCAGAGATTCCGGCCCTGTTAGCCAGTAAAAATGGATGTGTTGAACTAGAAACATACGCTGTGGAAATCCCAGGCATAAGCTACCTGGCAGGGGTTGCGTCTGACGGACTTGCAAAAGATGCTCTCCATATCCACACAGGGCCCAGGCAGTGACAAGGCACAGGTACCCGAGCCAGATGGAGGTGGTAGAGTTCTCTGACTGAGGTGGGAAGAATGGCCGGTCACCCTGGTCCTGGGAAAGGACAGAAAGGTGTTTATATGGTTTCTGGGGTGGTCTCAGGGAGACTAGTGATGAGGACAGGATCCACCCAGGGAGGTGCCCCAGCCTCATGTTACCTTGGAACCTGCAGTCAGAAGGGCCCTTGGCTCTGGCCCAGACCCTGCAGGCATTCTGCTCCTTGGTGTTCAGAAAAGGGAACCAGCAGGGACAGTTTCAAGGATTCATTGTCATGTCCAGGAGCACAGAGCTTTGCTTGCTGGCTGGAGGATCCCCCCACTTCCCCTGTGTTAGAAAGCTTAGGATAATGACACTCCAGAGAGACAAGTGTCTGTCCAGCCTCCTGGGCCCCGGCCACAACCCCAGAGAGGCCTCAACTGAGTAGCCAGCTGCTGGGGTACTGATCCAACAGTGGGAGGAGAATGACACAAGGCGTGAAGTGTGTGTGAGCTCAACACCAGTGCTGGGAATCACATTAATACCGCAAATGTGCACACAATTGTGTCTGTGAGCTCAACACCAGTGCTGGGAATCACATTAATACCCCAGATGTGCACACAATTGTGTCTGTGAGCTCAACACCAGTGCTGGGAATCACATTAATCACCCAAATGTGCACACACCCCAAAGATCCATGAACTGATGGGTGAACAAACTATGGCCTGTTGATACAATAGAACATTATTCAGCCATATGAAGGAATAACACGCTGCAACATGGATGGCCTTTCAGAACTTGTCCAGTGAGAACCTGATGCCATTCACAAAAGCTGCCCACAGTAAGTAGGCAAGTCCGGTAAGATGGTTTCTTGAGGGCTGGCAGTGGGGAGAGGGAAGGGGAAGTGACTGCTGTGTAGGCTCAGAGTTCTTGTGGGGTGTTGAAAATGTCCTGGAATTAATGGTGAACACACTAGAAACTGCAGAATTTGTGCAGGTTAAAATGGTAAATTTTGCTGGGTGTACACCTTTAATCCCAGATTGGTCTGCATGGTGAATCTCACACACACACACACACACACACACACACACACACACACACACACACACACCAAGAATTTTATGTAATGTGAACTTTGTTTACTGAAATAGAATTTTTTTAAAAAAGAGGCTGGAAGTATGTCTGGATTCTCAGCCATGGAACAGGATTCTTAATGGGCACACAACCTCTCACCCCCAGGAGGGCAGGATAGGGAATCACATGAAGGCAGAGATTCTGATGTGGGGGTTGCCTGGATGGGACCCAGATGACCATGTGTTTCTGGGTGGCACCGGCTGTTTTTGTGGCCACAGTTTGAGTAGCAAGGCTGTATAAAGGGCCTTCTGTGTCCCGTTACCATTCTGGGCTTCGGGTGCCTCACTTTGTATGAATCGGGTTCTGCCGTCTGTCCCTATAAAGTTGGAAGTGCAGGTGCACAGGTTACCCAGGTCTGTGGGCTGGTACAGCGTGTGGGGTTCAGGGTGTATGACAGAAGGAGCTGGGGCTGAGGTTACAGAGGTCACCATTAACAAACACGGGGCCAGAGTAGTAGCTTTTATTTCACACAAAGGTGGGGCAGGACGGCAAGAAGGCCAGGCTTGGTTCTCAGATGGATGACTTCAGCTGCCAGGCTCCACTACCCCTGGTGTTCAGAAGTGATCTGCAAGAAAGGGGGTGTCCCGAGTGAGCAGCTGAAGGAGCCCCTTGTCCTGGCTATGCCCAGGAATTCCTCCCTCCAGCTTCCCAGTCCCTTGGGACAGCAGTACCAAAACCAGGACTCAAGAAAGGAGCTGGGGGTGATCTGAGCATCACTAGGACTCCAGGGCCCAGAGTGCCAATGGGTGGTGAGAATCGATGGAGGAGCACAGACCGGAATACTTGAAGACTGATGTGCTACCAACTCAATCCTGGGGCTGCACAGCACTTCACCCCCCATCCCCCTGTGTGTTCTGGCTCCACCAGTGTGATGGAGCTGCCAGGGACCCTTGGTGACAGGCCCAGCAGGTGTCCCTCTTGCCGCCTGAGCCACTCACCACTTCCTAGCAGGTCCGGTTCGGGGCTGAAGGGCCCTGGGGGTAGATTGGAAGCCAGCTCCTCCAGCAGGCCCAGCAGACCTGTCACTTCGGTCTCCAGGTGCTCCACCGTCTTCTCCACCGTCTGGAGCGGGAGGCCAGGGCCAAGTCAAGCACAGGAGTAGGGCCAACTTTAGCTTAGCTTAGTGATACCCTAAAGAAATTTCACTGAGTCCCAGCATAATGCAGTGGAGAGAACTGGGTGCTGTGGAGTCCTGGCCCTCACTCAGTCTCTGCTCAGTTTCCCCAGCGACACCATCACAAGCTGCTTTAAGGATCCTCCTGTCTGTTACTCAAAGGTGCCAGGCTTGGCACGGGAACCCCTCAGCACCTTTTTCTTTGTTGGGGACTTGGCAGTAAAAGTGCACATTGCTTTTGTTGCACCGCCCCCTGGTGGCACCTTCCTTAAATGGCAGGTTTGGGATTTTAATGTTTTGTTTCTAGGGATGGCTTAAAGGGTTTTGCTTGGTTTGGTTTTTTCGTTTTTTTCAAGACAGGGTTTCTCTGTGTGTAGTTTGGTGCCTGTCCTGGATCTCGCTCCGTAGACCAGGCTGGACTCGAACTCACAGAGATCCACCTGCCTCTGCCTCCCAAGTGCTGGGATTAAAAGCATGCACCACCACTGCCCAGCTTCACAACAGTTCTTTAATGCTTGGGGGGGGGGGGCAGATTTTAACATTACAATAGCATTCAATTGTTAAAAACTATATATTATTTTGGTTGTTGATGTCTGTAAGCTCAAAAGCCAATAGACTGAGACAGGAAGATCACCATGAGTTCCAGGCCAGTTTAGGATACAGAGTATGATTTTTCTCTCCAATAATTATTTTGTCATTGTGGGAGTGAGAGAGCAGAAAGTCTTAGGAGCTGTCCCCTGTGGGGGGGGGGGGAGCACACTCACACCGTGGTAACATGTGGAGGTCAGTTCTTTCCTTCCACTTGGAAAATTCTGGGGATTAGGCCAACGGTGGTGGCAGGAGGATCTCTGAGTTCAAGGCCAGCCTGGTCTACAGAGCCAGTTCCAGGAGAGCCAGGGCTACACAGGGAAACTCTGTCTCAAAAAAACAAAAAAGGAAAGAAAGAGAAAGACCCGGGGATCAGCCTCGGGTCATCAGGCTCGATGGCCGGTACCTGGTGAGCTATCTCACAGGCCTCACCTTGCCATTGAGGCAGGAGCTCTTCCTGGCAATGAACAGGTTCGGCTGGCCGGCTAGCGAGCCCCAGGGATCCTCCCAGCTCTTCCTCTCTGGTGCTGGAATGCCACTTGAAAGACCCTAGCCCTTCAGGCTTACACCCCCAAGCCTCAGGAAGAGAGAAACTTCAAGCACCAGGAAATGAGAAACTAAAAATCTAGTTCCCAGGGCCACCTGACTCAGCCACTACTCAATCACCCCTGCCACAATGTAACAATGTAAAAAGATTTCTGTTAAGAGATGTGCTCGACTGTGACTGGGATAGTTGCAGGTGTTCCAGGAAGGACCACTGTGACCTTTGTGTAAACCCCACTCCCACCCTGATACCCCCCTTGAGGTTTCAGGAAGAATGTGCATGCGGACGTGACTGTACCCACTCTGTGATCACCCTGTGATCAGGCCATAAAATTGTATGGGAATTGTAATCTTGTGGGTTTTGTGGGTTTTTCCCTTTAAAAGCCCTTATGGGGCTGCAGTAAGATGCGACTCTTGCTCTTGGGAGCAGAGGAGCCCTTCTATATAGAAGCTAAATAAATCCTCGTGCTGTTGCATCAACTGGACTGGAGTCTGGGTTCTTGGGGCGCCCACTTGAGACCCTAAACTTTGGGGTCCAGCACCACTGCCCCTAGCTTTTATTGTGGGTCCTGAGGATGGAATTTGGCTCCTCCTGGTTACATGGCAAGCGCTTTACAGACTGAATGAAATTCTGATGTACTAGTATATGTACATATTAACTCACTAAAGGACAGAATCTAACACCAGGCCGTTGCTGCCATCCTCACAGAATGAGGGAGCACAGAGGACATGCTGAAGCTGGGTGTGTGGGTCCATGCCTGTAGTCCTAGAGGCAGAGCCAGGAGGATTGCCATGAGTTTCAGGCCTGACTGGTTTAATAGTGAGTTCTAAACCAGCCATGGCTACATAGTGAGACCCTGTCTCACAAAAAAAAAAGAAGAGGCTGGCGAGGTGATGGAGGAGGTCAAGGCACCTGCCACGAACTTTAACAACGTGAGTTAAATCCCTGGGACACGCATGGTGGAAGGAAGGGATTTAAAAGTTTCCAGCAATGAAGATAAAACTTTCCCCCACACAAATATATGAACCCAAAGTTATGGTTCATGGCTGCTTTACAAAATTTGATGGTTGAATTTCCACCTTCCCCGTCCCGGGAAAAAGCTCAGGCTTGGTGTAAGTAACGCCTCCTGGGAGCTAGGCTATATAACACATTGCTCAGCTGAACATCCCAGTTAGAGCAGAGAGTATTTAACTTGGTGCCTGGGGAACAGGACTGGCCTGGGTTTCCTGACCATTGTACTCCACAAAGCCTCCAGCCTGGCAGATGGCCATGAAGCTTCATGGTGCCTTCCTCTCATACCCTTGTTACCTCTTCCATGATGTCCAATCGGCCTTGGACAGCCACGTGTCTGTCACAGCCTGGGCTCCAAGCTAGATCTTCTCTGGAGGACTCAGCAGCTGTAGGGAAAACAGGTCTTGTCACTCTGAGGCCATTGGTTCCCTTGTGGCACTAGAGAGGCCTGTACAACACCAGGCTAGAGTGCCGTGGGTGCTGAAATCAGACAGAAGGACAGACATGCAGAGGATGAAGATGAGCCACCAGACCCAGGAGGGCTTCATCAAGGAGGTAGTGTCTAGGCTGGGTAAAGTGGAGACAGGGAAGATCTGGCTGCTTACAAAGACTTGGAGAGACGTACATCTTCCTTAGACAAACCATCTAGGGAGCTGGAATGCCTGTGAAGAACCAGGTGGGTGGGAGATTCAACCAGAGAGGGGTCTTGGGACCCAAGACCTCCATGAACCTCCATGAATATTTGGAGGGGGTGTTTTGAATTTCCGATTAGAGAATGAGGAGGGATGTGACTGTGGAGGGAGGCAGTAGCGGCAGTAATCCATGTGAGAAGTAATGAGCCAGACAGTAGTAGACAGAATCCAGGGAGGAAACGGAGCGGCCTCGGCACCGGGAACCAGTGAGTCTGAGCAGCTGTGCCCTGTGTGGCGTGCTGAGGATGATCTGTAGTGGCCTCATTTTGTACTCCAGGAAACTAACGCACAGAGGGGTGAGAGGTCATGTCCAAAGCCACTGCTAGTGAGAGGATCGGAGATTTGACCAACTGCTATGGCTGTTCTTGGTCGTCTGTTCATCCCATCTGGCTAGAATAAGACCACAACCACAATTTTTGAGCCAAATTTGAAGCAAGCTTTATTTAAATACTGGTCAAGATGATGGGCATTGGCCGGGTCCATACCTGGGATTCCCAGAGTGTGGCACCGAATTATGTTAGGTGCTTATAAAGGCAGAACCTACAAAGCTACATACTTCCTGTCTCTGTCCAATTGGGGGCAAGCATACATTCTGATGTACTTCCTGCCTATGCACCGCCCCACCTCATGTGTGGTCAAGCACATCCGGTGCAATTGGTCCAACCAACCTTGTCTACAAAAGTGAAAACATGTGGCTTGCTATCTTACATGAACAACAGCCCCTAGCATTCCAGGAAGTTATCTGTCCTTGGGCAAGTGGAACTTACAAGTTAGAGGCATTCTTCTTTTTTTTTTTTTTTTTTTTCTTTTTTGGTTTTTCGAGACAGGGTTTCTCTGTGTAGCTTTGCGCCTTTCCTGGGACCCACTTGGTAGCCCAGGCTGGCCTCGAACTCACAGAGATCCGCCTGGCTCAGCAGCCTGGAGAGAGTTAGAAAAGGCAGGAAGAACTCTTCTTACTCCAGGGTGGGCTGTCCTGGTGGGAGTCTGCGTACACACCCTCTCTGTATGTTCTGCCTAGGGGCTTTCAGCCAGGTTACTCTGGGAGCATCATTTGCTCTTGCCGGAATCCTTTACCCAGTGGAAGCTGGCAGCTGTGGGCATCTTGAGGAGCATGCATCTACTTCTCTCCCCTGGCCCCAGACGCTGTTCTCCAGAATCTGTGATGAGGTCTAACTTGGCTTCAGAATCTCTCCGGGGGGAAAGAGGCTGGGATGAGGTTGGTCCCCTCAGCACTAATCCCTCACATCTGGATGGAGCTGTGCTCTGAGCTCATCCAGGCCTCCTGGGAACTCATCTGACAGAAAGCTTGGAGCACAGCCCTAACAACTGTCCTGCGTGACTAGCTCCCTCCCTGCAGAGAACCTCAGCACAGCTCTGCTTGGACACACCCTGAAGACCCTTTTCAGCCTACACCCTCAGCCATTAACTTTCTGGCCTCCTCTATCATGCTGGGTGGGGTTGGTCTGAGGCTCTTGGTCCCAGACATGGCTGGAGTGGGAGTCTGTCAGTCTTTCAGAATTTGTCTGAGGCCTCAGAGGTCAGAGCTAGGCTGAGAGTGTGTGTGTGTGTGTGTGTGTGTGTGTGTGTGTGTGTGTGTGTGTGTGTGTGACAGAAACTGGGCTCTCTTTCCTTTCTCTCTCTCTCTCTCTCTGGCTGTCAGGAAACTTATCCAGTATGGGTGGAAAGGCCAGAGGACTGTTGTGTTATCTCACTGGACTTTGAGCCAAGGCTGTGGATGCTCCCTCCCTCCCTCCCTCCCTCTGCTCTCCCTCCTCTGCCAATGGATTCCCTAGGGTATGGAGTTGTTTTCTTTGGCCTGGCTCCTGCTTGAAGCCTTGTCTGTACCCTGGATGGTGGCCATGGGTGAAGCAGGATCCTGTGGTGAGGGGAGCCCAGGGACCAGGAGAGGTGCTGGGCTGGCTGGCCTACCTAAAGAGGCTTGGCCAACCAGTCTTGTCCTCTATACGGCCCCGCCCAGTCACAGCCCTTCCAAGGCAAATGGATGTACCCGGGACTCACACAGTGAGAAAGTACCCACACTCATCATCAAAGCCATAGTCTATTTTTACTAGCAACACTGGCCACTTGGGGTTAATGATATTTGACCACACTCAGTATAAGAGAATAATAAACTTCACCACATCCAGTACTTCTATAAATATTTGTGATGCGTTCAAAACCACCAGCGATTTTTGATTCTTAAAGAGAAGCAGAACCATGTATTTCAAAAAGATTGTATGAGGAACTCTGCATGGAACTGCTCTGACTGAAACAGGCCAAGGATCCCGGAGCCCTTTAAGAGAAAGCTAGATTCCAAGAAACTTTTGTTTTGTTTGTTTTTGCTTAAGGAGAGGCACACTCTATCTCCCTCGATTATTCTGAGACTTTTTCCAGAAGTGGACTGGGAGACTCCTGGGGCACTGGGAAACTTATCCCTGTCCTTCCCACACTTTCCCTATGGGGCCGAGTTAGTGCTTTACTTAGGATGTAAGGGAAGCTGCTGTCATGAAGAGTGCCTGTCAATCACCACCTCCTGTCTGTTTCTCCCTCCTGTGTCCGTTCAAAGCTAGACTGACTGACAGCCTCGGAGGCAGCTCTGCTCCCGAGGCTGGACATGATCCCAGATTCTGTTTTGCTACCCTGTATTTTTTAAACCACTAATTAGAATAAACTAACCCTTCCCAAACCCCAGGATGCTGAGGCCTCAAACCCACCCAGGATAAACCACTCTCTGTCTCTCACTCAGCTTCCTCGGGTTGAGAAAAGATCGGTCTGTCCCGCCCCGTCTCCTTTGCAGGGTTGCCGTGATGTCACACCTGAAGATGCCTATGAACCATAGGGCAGATGCCACACATGGGCTAGGGTGGCTAGTCTTCGTCAACTTGATACAAACTACAGTCATGGGGGGAAGGGGGGAGAAGGAACCTCAGCTGAAGAACTGACCCTTTTGCTGCACGCCGCAAAAATATATATAAAGTAGGAATTCGGCTGGTTATGACAAAACTAGACCTGGAGGAATTAGGAACTCTTCCAGAGGATGAGGCCAAGGCTCAAGGAGTCTTGGTGATATTGGCTTTTGATTATTAGCTGTTTCCTGCTATGACTTTCTCATGTGCTATTGTAGCTTTTCCACCATTCATTGGGCACAATTTCCCCTTATGCAATTAAAGTATTTATATAAGTTTCTCCAACTGTGCGACAACAGACACAGTCAAAATCCCTAATTTCAGGCCTTTCTGTAATTATCGTCATTAGCAGCATCCGGCCAGGACCATCCCGGGACGGACGGAAGTATCTTATCAGAGATACCCCACAGATTCTCTAAGAACAGACTTAAGCATCCAGACTATCTGTTTGAGAAGGACTGGCGGATGTGCTAATTAAGCTTAACTTTCTCCTTCCCAAAGTCTTATCTCTAGTTTTAGATCCACCCTTAACAATGAACTCAGAACTAACGGGTTTCTACTTACAGTTACATCTAGCTGTGATGGAAGTTGCCTAGCCAAGTTGCCTAGCGACTGAGCACACTTCCCCCGCCCTGCCAGAAAGCAGTGGGAGCAGAGATAGCTTGGAGAGATAAGGGCCAAAGGGATAAAAGGCAGTTTTATTTTCAGAGACAGGATGGAGAAGAAAAAGAGAATGGAAGAACTAGATGGGTAAGAACTGGAGGGGAACGAACTGAGATGGGAAGAACTAGATTAGAGGAGAACGAGACTGGAGGACTAGAGGAGAGAACTGGAAAGACGAGATGGAAGATGAGGAAGAGCCAGGTGAGAGAGAAGGAGATGGGAGAGGAGCTAAGATGGGAAAGAACTAGATGAAGGAATTAAGGTAGCACTTAGAGGGGACAGCAAACAAATGTAGAGAGAAATCAGGCAAGAAAGGAGCTAGGCATGAGAGCAGAACTGAAGCTGTGTAGAGAGAGAACTGGCTCAGAAGAATAAAGTGAATGGACTAAAGAATTTCATGTTCGTAGATTCACTTCTTACCATCTAAGATGAGATTATCAGCTGGCTGTAGATTCTTCCACGGACCCTGGGAGAGGGCTACTGAGGGGCTGGACCCCAATAGTCCCCGTTACCCTTTTGGATTAGCCTGTGGCAAGTCTGATTGGCATTTTCTTGATTAATGATGATATGGGAGGGCTTGGTCCTCCACAGGCAGTGCCACCCCTGGGCTGGTGGTCCTGGGTTCTATAAGAAGGCAGTCTGAGCAAGCCATGGAAAACAACGAGCCCGTAAGCAATATCCCTCCATGGCCTCTGCTTCAGTTCCTGCCTCCAGGTTCCTGCCTTGAATTCCTGCCCTGACTTCCCTTAATGGACTGTAAGATGAAATAAACATTTTCCCCACAAATTGCTTTTGGTCACAGTGTTTATCACAGCCACAGGAAGCAAATTAGGCTGGGACACCGACCAGACAAGCAAATACAGGCCCAGAATGATGGAGCGGGTGTGTCCGGACCCCCTTCCCTTGCTCACCTCTCTCATGCGGAGTCTAGAGCTCAACCTAGATCCCTGCATCAGGTCTCAGGAACAAATCCATGCAGGAAGTCAGAGGGTACCATGCTGCAGAAGGGCTTCTCCAACAGGAGGCAGGGGCAGCCCTGACCTGACTGGATTATCTTCTGCAAGCTAATTCCATTTGTTGGATCCTGGCTTTTGCTGCTATTAGAATGGACACAGCCATACTCTG